CCTAAATATTAAAAAAACTTTGTTTAATTTTTTTAATATTTTTTTTTTTAAATACTAAAATCTAAAAATGAAAAGAAACTTAAAATAAAAAAATAAAAAAGTTGAATTGAAACAAAAAGAAGGAAAATATATCTGTTTCTAAAAATGAAATTAAACAAAAAAACCTTTTTAAAACAATGACATTGAAAAAGTAAAGAAAATTTAATGAAAAAAGGAGATAGAAAAAATTTAAAAATTTCGATTTTCAAACAGTCAATTAATCAAGCATCCTTTCTACCGATATCAGCAGGTACTTAGGTCAGATTGGTTAGAAAGAAGATACATACTCTTCAAACAGCAACGGTTGCAGTTTTTAAGAAGTGACGAGTGGAGTAGTTAAAAAATAATCATATTTAGCTATCATTTTAAGCAAAGAAAATGCCATGATTGAGCTTCCACAATAAACCCAGATGTTTGAAGGAACCATACGCAGCGCGAAGACGACAAACACGGAAAATTAAATTAAATTAAATTAGTTCGTTCCAGTATTCTTCGGGCAAAAACCAGTGGAACTGTCAAACTACAATGTTACTCTCTCAAGTGATTGTAAAATGAGAACAGATGCAGAAGCGTACGGGAACGCAAAAAAGCACTATTTCCGGCACAAACGTCAGTCGGTCTGTTTACATGTCATGACTGGGAAGAATTGCTCTCTTACTCGCTCAAAAGTGTTCACAGTGAGAGAAATTCTTGCGTACGGCAACGACTTCCTGTAATTTCATAGTTGAGGGATTCACAGCGATGTCGTAAGTGTCGTATTGTTGTATGTCGTAAACTTGAAAAGCTTAAATAAATGTTTAGAGAACTTGAAACCACAACCAACTATTTTTTAACACTGCGAAAATACATAATATGACTTGGATGGCACTTTGCAAACCCCTTTAACATGTTTTTTAGGCGTTTAAAGTTTACGACATACAACAATATGACACTTACGACACTGTTGTGAATACCCCAAGTAATTCTTACTATGCCCTAGTGTACTGGAACAAACTACTTATTCCATTCACTTATTTCTTCCCTTTTTGCGCCCACTTGTCTACAGATTTCCGTTAATTGTAAATAAATAATTTTTAGATAGCACAGCTCCTCCGCTGATACTTGCAATGCATGCACCGCTGCAGGAATGAATATGTAACAATTATTGATTTCGTTGTTTTGCGGCTTTTGCGATTTGTTTTATTTTTTTGCTGATGTTTTTAGCGCCTAAATGGAATAACATATACGAACGAATGAATGCATAATTAAGAAAAATTATACATAAGTGCCTTAAAACTTAGTTAAGCGTTTATACAGCAAGGTCGCACTGACGATCAACTACAACGCTTGCAAGGTTTCCCTTAGCTGCCAATGCGCACTCGGCGGTTTGATTTGAATTAAACAACGGAAATTGTATACAGAACGCAATTGTATGTAATACATGGTATATGTACATACGTACATATATTTTTACGATTGTAGTACTATACATATACTAAAGATAAAAGCCGAGTAAAAAATTCATTGCTTGTTTTATTAATAAAGAGTTTATTTATATTTATTTTATCGCTTGTGCAATTTTAGATATTATTTTCCTTCATAAACGTACGTATGTACACTTGTACATTTCAACCACTCTACATTTCAGCAGCCTTCCGCGATATTTTTTTTCCGCTAAATTGTTGTGATAATCCTACATCTATTGAAATCCCATAATCCCTTATTAAATGCGCATTTAACTTTTATTTTTGCAATATAATGCTCGTTTCATGCAGAATAATCCCATCACAAGCACATGAAATTTCGTAATTTACTGCCTAGATTTTACAACGTGTTGCAGCAATTGAATATTGAATTGAATTAAAATCGATTAGCAACGATAACTTTCAGCCGAAGTAAACATAATGTGGGTTAAATTAGATGTAGATAAATTAATTTGTTTGGAGAAAATAATTGCAGACACAAAAAGCGCAAAATTCATAAGCATACATACATATGTACGTACATATACAATATGTACACATTAGGTTGGAGCGAAGTTAATCGGTGAAAAAATATTGAAAAAATTTTAGATACAAATCTGTTCTTCCTATCGAGGCCTATTTAAAAATTTTAAGAACTTAGCTCACATTTTTGTTTGATATCGGAATATTCGACAGAAGATATTCTTATAGAAAAGTAAGATTCGACTTGTTAAAAAATGACAAAACATCTTGTGCATAGTAAGGCGAAGTAACGTAAAAAATGAACCTTCAGATTTCTATTTCTTATCGATGATGCTCTCTACATATGAACATATGTATGTATACTGTTATCGATATTTTTATCAATATCGTTATCGATATTTTTTTCAGAATTTGTTCGATTTATTTATTTAAATCGTTATCGATTAACTTTTTATTGCATAATCGTGTGAAAATTAATATGGGCACGACACTTTGACCAGTTTTGGCTATTTTGCCTTTGTTTATTTAGTGTTTATAAAAATATAACTCATTATCCAACAAAAGCCAACTTTGTAGAAAAATTAGAAAAATTCCACAAAATTTTACAGCAAGGTTTTTACTAAGAATTTTTACAAAAGTAAGTGTGTATACAATTTTATAAATAAATATGTATATATTTTTTTTTACTGGCGTTGTCACGCATTTTCTTCCATACAAAGTTACTAGGTTTGAAAATTTTTTTTGTACGGAAGAAATTAGCACCATCGGCTAAAAAAATATCAAAAACAAACGCGAATTCTGAGCAACCTGAAACTTGCAGTTTATTACGCTAGAATTTAATGGGTTTATATTTAATTTCCACCAGACGTTAAATGACATAACTTTTAATGACAATGTTAAGCTTTTAAGAATACCCGCGCCATTACGTTCATAAAAATAGACCTTAGTCTGTTTCGACATGGCATTTTTTGAATAGCATAAATTGTTTTCCATTTCAATGCTTAGTGGAAATTCGGCAATGCAATTTTTGTAAAAATTCTTAATAAAAATATTGTTCACTTTTTCAAAATTTTTTTACAAAGTATGAAATTTGGACTTACATATATAGATTTTGTTAAACAATAAACATTAAATAAAAAAAATAAAAATAGTAAAACCGGGTCAAAATGTTGTGCCCTTATTATTTTCCCAATGAATGTGTATTGTTATCGATCATTTTATATTTTTCGATCATTTTTCAGAATTTTTTTCGATTCATTTATCGACGACTATCGTGTATTCATAGATACACATATAATTACATTAGTGTTGTCCAAAGAAAGTAAAGTCGGAATTCTAATGCTCCCAACCTCCAGGAATTGTTCTATAGTGAAAAAATAGAATCTTGTTTGTTTTTTTAAATAAAAAGTTTTTTAGAGGTTTATTCGTTTAAATTCTTGAAAATTATATTTTTCAATCGGCAAACTCTGTTTCTCTTCCGGAGACTTCAAGGAATAATACTCAATTGTTATTTAACCATTTTTTGAGATTAACCATTTTTGTATGTAACCCCCAAAAACCAATAAATGCAATGGAGAAGTCGATAAACATTAGTTAAAAGTATGTATTAAAAAATTCTTAAATAAAAAAAGTCGACCCTGCCTAGTGGACATAACAGGCAAGTATGTATATTTTTATAAAAAAAAGTTAACTCAAAATAACCTAATTTGTATCTTCGCACACATGCCTACAAACAAATCTATCTACAACTATAAATTTATAACCACAACTAGAAATTTGTATGCCGTAAAATCAATTTCCATTTGCAAATAGTCAGCTAAATATATTTCGCCTCTGCGATTTTGTGCGCTCGCCTCTTTCCCTGCTGCTTTCTTGATTTCGCCATAATTTTTTTGTTCGCTATCTAATTTCTAATAATTTTTCAAGCCTATGTACATACATACATATGTTTGTCTTTCTATATAGTATACATTTACATACATATGTATACATATATTTATCTATAAATGCGCTCACCTTCAATGCAAACGACGTGATCGCGTATCTGTTGTGCGATCTGTGCATCGCCGATTGGCAGCAAATCGATTAGATCGTAAATTGCATAAATCGATGGATGCACGCTCTCGAATCGTTGTATTTCCTGACGTATGGCCAACGAATTGCTAATCAATGGCTGATGGTGCGGCTGCTGTTGTTGGTGATGGTGATGTACATGTTGTTGTTGTTGCTGCTGCTGCTGCTGCTGTGTTGGCAACATTGGCAGCGGAGGCTGCGGTTGTGGCAACAACGATGGATGATGATGCGGCAGCGGCGGTGGCGGCGGCAAGTGATGATGATGATGCCGCGTTACAGGTGGCGGAGTTTGATGTTGATAATTATTCATTGTATTGGCTTGGGATTTACTTACACTAACACTCACGAAAACGCACAAAGAAAAACACACAAATGTATGTATATTTTTAAAATTTTTAATCGAGGATTTAAACACTTTTTTGGTAAACCACACAAATTGTTTCTTTTTTTTTTAATTTTGGTTATTAATCGGTTAGCAATGGGCAATTTTTACACATTTTCTCACTATTTACTGGGGTACTTGTGAACCGCAAATTAGATATTTTTTATTCGAGGGAAGCCAACACTGTATTATTATTGCATAGTGGGCGCCGAAATTTTAAATTTTTCTTTTTTCTTAATTCCAGTTACTTTATTAATTATAATTTTATTATTATGTATTTCTAAGCACAAATTCGAATTTTAATGCGCTTTAAGCGCTTTGATTAAATAAGATTTATTGAATTGTTCACAAATTTAAGCTCGAAGCAGAAGTGTTTGTCATTAGTATGAGTTTTAAATTTGCAGTAAAAGCCTTTTTCAAACATGCAATGTTTATATTATATTTTAATGTCTACATACATATTAATTATAAATTTAATTGGGGTTTATGTGAAGGTGGTACAAACACAGAATTCTTCCACTATTTTAAATATTTTATTCATTATTTTAGGGTTTTTAATTGTATTAGCAGTTACTTATGAATGTTTAAAAGTAGATTTTATTCGAACTCATATATGTTATTGTTTATTTAATTTTTTAATCAATAATTATACATATTATGCAATTTCAAAACATCTATTATTATACTTTATTGCTCTCGGATATTAATACGCGATCGATGGCGCTCTAAGCACATTTGCCTGCAATACAAAATAAAAAATAAAAAATTATTGGAAATAAGCAAATAATAAGTAATAAATAAATGAAAAACTACTAATTTAAAAAATATGTATACAGTGGCGCTCTACTAAATAGCATACTTTCACAATGTTTTACGTCATATATTTTTTCGTTTTTTTTTCTTATAAAATATAGTAGTCTATGTAAAACATTTTGAACAGTTGAAGAAAATTTACAAATTTCAAAAAAATTGTCAACTTTTTTCAAATTTTTATTTATTTATTGGGTATGCATTTTGTAGCTTATTCAATTTTAGGAAAATAATATGAAGGTTAGAAAATTCCGAAAAATTCCGTTGATTTTTTAGATCTTTTTTTTTTGTCGAGGGTGTTGCGTATTTTCTTTCATAGAAAAATAGATTTTGTTCATGCGTTATATGGGAGAAAAAACGGGACTTTTCAGAATTTTCAAACCTGCACATTATTATACTAAAATGGAATTCATTAAATTTTAAGCAGGTTTGAAAATTCTGAAAAATCCTGTTGATTTTTGAGATTTTTTTTTTTTGCCGAGTGTTGCCCGAACCTTTTCAACAAGCTGTGCATATCTTTTGTTCGTATGGAACAGTAGCTTATGTCGAAAGGCTGGCTTTAGTATAATGCGGCATTCGCAGCACACGATTGCGAATGGCTCACTGGCGCCGAGCCGTTGAAAAACTTTTGGCAAATAAACGTGAATAGATAGTTCCGATAATAGCAAGTCAATATTCTTATTAAGTCTAATCAAAAAATTTCTTGTCGTTTAAAGAATGAAGGGAATGCCCGATTATACTAAAGCCAGCTTGCCGACATAAGCTACTATTCCATACGAACACAGATACATATGTATATCTCCTATACCCAAAATGCATTATCTATGTATGTACATACATATCTCCTATCTTCGAATCGATCCGGCTTCAATGAAAATTTATCCTTTGGCTAGCAAGGGCTTCTTATACCTTCCCTATTCTTTCCAAGGATTTTGGAGGGTCTTATAGTAGGTATTTTGGTCCGTCGACCCTCTAAGTCTTGGGCTATGTCCGAATAATGTGGTCGCGGAGTCTACTCCAAAGAATAAGTGGTGACCACTGAAGTAACTTTTAATTGATTTGCAAAATGTTACCAACTGTCCGATGCCATAGTGGAGTGTCATTGGAATATCAGTTTATTGTGGTTCCCTGAGACTGCTATAGGAGAGATAGTAGTTAAACAGGGTTGACTATATCTAATTCGCTACCTGTAGTTAAAATATTAAATTTTTGTGGCCTTTCAAAAGTTAAGACTTATAAACAATTCTCGTGCACAAATATTTATAAGTACATAGCAGTAAATCTATAAAACTTACGCAAATTAAGTTTGTAATATTTTAACATTAAAAGGAAATATCGCACACCGTCTTCAGAAGAGTCACAATTCAAAATTTAACATTTTAAAAATTATTCGCTAAAAGTGTACACTGAGCTTTTATTCACCTTTCAGTAAAAGCTGGAGCAAATTTTTGTTATAATTTGTTTAAAAAAAAAAACTTAAAACATATCGTCGTTCTGCAAAACCGCGTAACTGACATTTTTTGCCAAAAATTTGTTTTGCTTACACAAGCTCTTGGCTCAATCCGTATCCATTCGTCCAGAAATATACTAGCCAGAAAGGCGATTGCTTTATAAAAAAGAGAGCCATTTTGAAATATTAGTGTTTTTACTTTCAAGAAAATAAATTGGTGCTACCTCACATAAGCGGTTTTGCATTATTTTGATATGAGGTTTTGCATCTAGTTGATACGCGGTTTTGTACTTCAAACGACGCTATGTAAGTACAGAATGCGGGAATACGGCCCCTAAAGCTAGAAAAAAAAACGAAATGTGAGCATGGTCCGCCCTTTCGTTAATTTTTTCTATTGTCTATGTTAACGTGTGTCAATCAAAATATCGCACTCCTATTATTTTTTGGACCACTGTATGTATGTATTTACATATGTACATATGTATGTGCATAGGTAGGTATGTACATAATTCGCTGGTGCATATTCATTGATAATTAGTTATCAGCATGTACCTTTCTATGTAAATATGTACAAGTATCGAGCCCAAGCAGCCAAAATAGCGTAAGCGGCATTTTTACCAAACGTTTCTTTTTGATGCAGAAATGAATCAAGATGCTCTAGGAATATTTTGGCGGTTAGGCCTCGATATGTGCAAGTACAACTTTTATGCATTTTTATTCATTTAAGTGCAGAAAGTCTATAAAACTTACAAGAATATAATTGATATTTCAATAATAAAAGATATTATAAACGCAAAATTACACAAATGTTGGCCGGCCCAGTAGTGCGCAAACATATTTCCACCCGTGACCTTCAGGCATCCAAAACTGAACACAAACACATTCTTCAAACGCACAAAAACACTTGTATAACGAATATATCAATTAAAATTATTAAAATTCACAAAACAGACTAAAAAAAATTCCTATAAAATCACTATATAAAAGCAAAAACCGCACAGCAACGCAAACTACGCAAATAATCTATTTTAATAACCGCGCTCAAACTGGCGTCACTTTCTGACGATTTGGGGCTATTCATTCGCTATTCTACTATGTGTTGGAAATTCCAACTTGGAATTGTATGCGTGTGCATTTGTGCGTTCGTTTTTTTTTTAAGTTGTTTGTTTTTTTTTTTTGTTTATCTCGTTGTTGCTACTAGTCTAATTGCCGTTTTTTAGGTCTTCAACAGCACTTCATCTTTGGATGCTGGAGCACCGCATTCATTTTTGTTGTGCTGCTGCTTTCTTATTGTTGTTCTAGTATAAAAGTACCTACGTCTGTACTTTTCAAGTATTGAAATTTATGTACATACATACATACATATATGTAAATAAATATACATTAGGGGTATTCTCTGAGTCTTGCAAAGCCCTTGCATGGTGCACAGATTGCACGGATTGCACGGTAAAAACCGGTTTTCGTATGGGGCAGCTTTGCAAACCGTGCAATCCGTGCACCGTGCAAGGGCTTTGCAAGACTCAGAGAATACCCCTTATATGTATGTTCGTTAGTATGCATAGAAGAAATCGTGAATACGTAGTTTATTTCTTTATTTTTAGTGTACTTTGTTTATTTGTTTGGGTTTTTTTCTTTGAATGCTTATTGTATGAAGTGGAAATTGGAAATGGAGGCAGCGCGAATGGAGGATTGATTGTTGGATGTTGTTGTTAGGCTTTGCCAGCCATCGGAATTGTCTAAGGTCTTAATTTTTAATGTTTCTATGAATTTTGCATCTACGCTTTTCTGCGAAAATAACCAATCAATTTACAGGAATAATTGCCTTAAGAGGTAGAATTTTGTTTACACAATTTAAAGCTGCATACATTTAGCTGCGGTCAAAATTATTAAAAATAAATAAATAAACATAAGTTGCAAGCAAAACCATTCTGAATTGTGGTGCTAATATTTTGATCGCAACTGTATATTTCAGGAAAACTAAACGTGCGTTTGATTATACATATTTTTAATCACGTTTAACTTAAAAAAATGTAAAGATAATTTGCAAAAGTAACAAACAATAAATCAGATACCATTTTATAGTATGTAATGCCTTATCTCCACATTTTCCATTTATACGGTTGGGTTCCTGAGGAGCTCGATAAGTAGAAACTTTCTAAAAAATCACCTCAACTTGTGTGATCACTGCTTTGCGATATTACATATTTCATAGCGCTTCTTCTACTAATTAATATGTATTTTATCGGCTATTGGCCTACCAATTAAATAAACAACATCTAAATATACGCAAAAGTTTAACAGCATACACGTCTCGTGCGTGTTGATTTTGTGAAGCAACACTATGGCGCAACGCACGCAAATATTTGGAGCGATGCAATTCCACTTGCTTCCTCAACATACGCAGACCCCCACATATGTACATACAAACATACACTTTGCCCCAAAAAGACACTGCGAACATAAAATTGAGCAGGCAATAAACTAAGCTAGTGAAATAAAAATTTAAATAAAATTATTACACAAATATTTTGCAGCACAATGTGTAGATTTCCACCGCTTATTAAATTCTCTATTTAATTTTTGGCACCACCGACAAATTAACACTAAACAAAACACTGAGACACGGCAAACGTTTAAAACGCACCGAGACACCAAATATTAGCGAAACGAACTCAAACACGTCGAAGAACACACTGACAAGAGCAAATCGGTAGAAAATTTGCTTGCGCTGTCGCCGCCTGTTTATATTGAATTGCTTGCATGTGTTTGTTGGTTGTTGGGTTGTGCAATTGGAGTTGGGGGCTTTGGATACAAAGCAATGGTGGTTGGTTTTAAATGTGTGTGATAAAATGCAGCGAATGAGTGGAGCAGAAAAAAAAACAAGAAATAACAACGCAAAATGAAATGTCAGAAAGCGCCTAAATTTCCGATAGCGGCGAGTAGCAGCAAAGTTTTACAGGGTGACACCAATGACGAGTATATGCGCGACAGGGTGTAATACGGCTTAACCACACCGAAGAATGTAAATAGATTTACGTTCTTTGGATTTACCTTCTTTGAAATGGCTAAAAGCGCAGTTAGTCAACGACGTAGCGTAAACGTAGGTTGACGTACCTAGCAGCATATAAAATCAGATTTTTTTGTGAAAAAATAGCACATTGCAACCCATGTTTGCAACAGAAATATATGCCCGTTCCATTATTTCTTGAAGAAAGAGTGAGGCAACAGGCTGTGAAGTATCAGATGTTAATATCCCTTGGACACACGCGAAATAATGGCAATTTTTTCTTGACCGTTTTCATGAGACCTGCATACTGGCCTTAAAACAGCTTTTTCATTAGGATCTGTAGAAGGTGTAGACGTGGGGTAATCGTACGATTTGCAGCCAATGCCCGTATATATCGAGTGGAAAATTTTCGATGTATCTAAGCAAAAGATCGATATTTTCGATGCATCGATGTTTTTGCTACATTCCTAGGAAAGTGGGAAAGCCGCATATATAAACAAAAAAACAAACATTGCAGATTTAAGTGGTGTTATTAAAATATATATAATAAATTAATTATATTTGTTAGTAATAGAGTAGCAAATTTCTAGGAGCGCGTCTTGTCAACCGCATCTATTAAGTACTCTTATATTCCATAGATTTCGTTGGAAGAGATTGCGAGTAATTGTTTGCAAAGCACGTCTTGACCCCGCCGCTAATAGCAGCCGGCGCATAGTATTTCTTACTGAATTAAAATTTACAAAACTCAGTTCAGTCGCATTTGGTTTGTCGTGTAGTTAGCAAGTTTAACGCGTGACTGCAGGAATTGGTTACCGTGACTGAATATGAAAACCAGTTTTATACTACTGCAGAATGTATTGTTTCTGCAGGCAATGCTCTTGGCAGTCGTAAGTTGCTGATCCGGCTTGGCAGGTTTTCCCATTTCATTAACTCGTATTTTCTCATTTTCCCCACCCATAGACCGTGCGTGCATATGCAGCTGTTTCTGCTCGATCCTCAAGCAGTAACGCACTGAAATCGGAAGCGCGAACATTCTTCGAGCGTGAAAACGAATTTCTACGTCAGCGGCGTCGCAATGAGTTCGTTACCTCCTATGAGTACAATACCAATGTTACAGAGGAAAATCGGAAAGCATTGATTGCTGTGGCTACCAAAAATGCAGCCGCAAATAAGGAGATGACACGCAAAGTAATCGCATCGGGATACATTGACTCAACTGATGAAGACATCAAACGACAAGCCACTATACTTGGTGATTTGGGTATAGATGTATTACCTGAAGATGACTATAAGGAATTGTTAAATGCCGTCAGTTCGATGCAGTCAAATTATGCCACAGCCACGGTTTGCCCATACAATAAAGAGGGGAATTGTACGCTGCAGCTAGAGCCACATATACAGGAGCGACTTTCGAATAGTCGCGACCCCAAAGAACTGAAGTACTACTGGCGTCAGTGGTACGACAAGACGGGTACACCAATGCGCGAGAATTTCAAAAAATATATTGAATTGAGTCGGAAGTCAGCGCGTCTGAATGGTAAGATGCCGGCATTTTAGTACTGATAAGAGCCGTTTTTTTTTTACGTGTATGTACCTACTAAGGCGAGTGCTTCGTATACATACGTACATATCGCACACCTAAATCTAAAGTGAGCTAACTCAATATTCAGAGTGGGAAATTTAATTGCTGTGGATCGTATAGATTCAACGCAATTAATACAAAAATAGTAGATTTTTAGTTAATTTATACTGTATATAATCATGAAAAAAAATATGTCCATTAACTGGATGTTAGTCCTATGAATTGATTTATGCAAAAAGCGCCCAATTTTTTTTTTTGGAGTTGGCCGCACTTAACATCGAAGTGTGCGATATGTACATACATTTGTATGAGCCATGTGCGGCACAGAAGTCGCGTAAGTTGATAAGAAGAGTTAAAATGAAACTTCTGGTACTTAAGTAAATTGAAGGGAGAAAAATCATTTCTAGTCTGGAAAACATTTAAATATTATGTAATACATACCGATGGCTTATATTCAATACCCATCAGTCTGCACTTTTCACAATAATGAGATTCTGATATAGAAATCCACCTAAGACTTGACTGCCATCGGTGATATTAACGCTTGACAGAAGAATTTACTATTAAATTGCTAACTCAGAATTAACATCAGTGATGACAGGTTAGTCCCACATAGGTTCTAACATCGCAAAGTAGTTTTTGTGAAAATTGCAGATAGAGGGATTGAATATAAGCCCTCCGATTCATTTATTATTGTAATACATACTTTAATAGCCTATTCCTCCTACGCCGATTATTGGATTCACTTTTATGAAGATCCCGATTTCGAGGCAAATCTAGATAAGGTATATAAAGCTATTATACCGCTCTATCGCGAAATACACGGTTACGTACGTTATCGCCTACGCGCCTATTATGGTGATGCAATCGTGCCGGAGAATGGCAACATCCCCATGCATTTGCTGGGTAATATGTGGGGACAACAATGGGATAATGCATTGCCGCTGTTTACACCCTACCCCGAGAAGCCATTTGTAGATGTGACCAGCGAGTTGCAGCGCCAAAACTACACTGTACGCAAACTCTTCGAATTGGGTGATCAATTTTTCCAATCGCTAGGCATGCGCGCGTTGCCCAACAGCTTTTGGGATTTAAGTGTGCTGACACGACCGGCAGATCGTGAAATTGTTTGCCACGCCTCGGCTTGGGATTTGTATCAGGATAGCGATGTGCGCATTAAAATGTGCACCGAAATTGATACACACTATCTGTATGTGGTGCATCATGAACTTGGGCATATACAATACTATTTACAATATGAAAATCAACCGACTGTTTTTCGTGCGGCGCCAAATCCTGGCTTCCATGAGGCTGTAGGTGATGTTATAGCACTTTCAGTTGCCACGCCGAAGCATCTCAAATCGATTGGACTCTCGAATGTGGACAAGTTGGACGAAGAGAGTCGTATCAATGAGTTGTTCAAGACTGTGAGTACTTATGCTCGCGATTTTTTAAGTTCTGTCGAAAAAATATTAAATTTTCGCTTTCAGGCGCTTAAAAAAATTGTGTTCTTGCCCTTCGCTTACACAATGGACAAATACCGCTATGTTGTGTTCCGCGGTGACGTGGATGAGTCTAAATGGAATTGCGCTTTCTGGCAAATGCGTTCTGAGTTTTCGGGCTTGGAACCGCCCGTGCGACGCACCGACGCCGATTTTGATCCGCCAGCAAAGTACCACATTGATGCTGATGTCGAGTACTTGCGTTACTTTGCTGCACACATTTTCCAATTTCAATTCCACAAGGCGATGTGCATTAAAGCTGGCCAGTACGTAAAGGGGGACCCGGAGAAAACACTGGATAACTGTGACATATATAACAGCAAAGAAGCTGGGGAAGCGTTCGGGTTGGCACATTATTATTTGTTAGTAACATTTATTACAGAATTAATTGAAATTTTGTGCTTAGCAAATTCCTTTCAATTGGCGGCTCGATACACTGGAAGAAAGCACTAAAGGAGTTTACCGGCGAAACTGAAATGGATCCAGCTGCGCTTATGGAATATTTTGAACCACTTAGCAAGTGGTTGCATGCAGAAAATCAACGCTTGAAAGTCCCACTAGGCTGGGGCGATACCGATAGTGAGTGTTGCCTTTGCAATTTTTTTTAGTAGATATACATTTAATAGTTATGGTCATTAAAAATTCGCTTATGTTAAGTTTAAGTTTGTGAGATATTTGAATTTTGTATCATCGTTTCTTTGCAGAAGTTGCCGGTGACTGCTGTCCAGCATTCAGTACTTGACAATTAGCCAAGCTAAGGGACAACGAATTTTGTGAAAATGCTGAAACTTGTACAAGAATTTAAAAAAAACTCAAATGAACGCAAGTCGTCCCGTAGCTGTCGCTGGCTTTTTAAATAACGGATTTTGGTTTTTTAATGTTTTACTTTGAGATTAAAGAGATTTTATACGATCCAAATTTGTAAATTCTAAATTAGCTATTTTTTATATTCCCGGTCGCTGTGCATATATAAATAAAATATGTTCACCTAGATTTATATTCGGAAATCACTGTGCGCCAATGGAACTTTCTAAAGATGTATAAGCAACGCTTTATGATGCTACTGAAAGAACCACTGAAGCTGAAGGGAGTTTACTGCTGATACACAAAGCGACATTCTTTTTATGTCTATTAGATCTGACTTATTACTTGACACATTTAACGTTTAAAAAACACACACATTGCATAAATGCAAGGTTAATATACATAAACATTTTATAAACCTTGTTACTAATTTAAGTGCATACAACATTTCCAAAGCATCAACTTTTACCTAGAAAGCCAACACTCAGTGAGCAAATAATTACTTGGCAACATCTGGGGAGCTGACGATCATAACAAAATTTTATTTGTAGTGTTAAATAAACAAAAGGGTAGAGGTTTCTTTGTATGCTTATAAAAGCGGAGAGTAGTGGACTTCTGAGTTTGCCGGCAACGCGGACGCGTATCAGAGTTTCTCTTCGCCAGTAAAATATTACAAACGGAGAACAGGTATACGGTCATTGCTCTGTTTATATTTTTATACGAGTTTGCTTCCCTAAGTTTTTTTTTTTTTTTATCACAGATAAGATATGTACACGTATGTATGTATTGTATATATGCATAGTACGTAAGCCGCGGGATTGATCAATACAAGTTTGTTCAGCCAACATTATGCCTATCTCAGTCGGCTNAGTTTGCTTCCCTAAGTTTTTTTTTATCAC